GGAATAACGCACTAGTAATACCAGGTTATATATATATATATCACGTTTTAATCTCCCCTCGTTTTCCGAGAGCGACGTCGAAGAGAAAGCTAACGACAGATTTGTGTCTTGAGTATAACGGAGAACGAAGCACTATATGGAGAAGGTTCGAGAAATTTTTGTCATGTTTACCGAAACAAAATCCTGCTCACTGCTTTCTCTTGAAAACTTTAAATCAGAACACTAGGAGTTGAAAAACAATATTGATTATAAATATTTTGCGATACAAGCAGAATGCCCTCCTCCACCCAACCCACCTCACTCCCTCGATAATACAAACACTTGTTAAGAAGGCTCAGCTTTTCGTATAGGTAAATCTTAGTTTTGTACGAGGTGCGTTTGTTTGTAATTAAGCACAAAGCTACACAATGGGATATCTGTGCTCTGCCCACCACGGGTATCGAAACCCGGAATCTAGCGTTGTAAGTCCGCAGACATGCCGCTGGGGGACACGAGGTGTGTGTATCACATTTAAAGTTTCGTTTACATATTCTTTGTTAAAGTTAAAATAAAAATAAAACAACAACAGTGAATATATTTAGAGCGATACCATTATGTCTCTAAATTCATAGGTTAGCATCAGTTAAAGGGTCTTTTGCCACTCGAAAGGAACTATTTGACGAATTATCGATTAGTATAGCATTTTGACCACAAGAGGGCGGGATGGTAATCTCTCGATATATACAGTTCAGGCGCCTCGAGCTGACAAACGGATTTTATCAGAGTGAAAAGATCCGACCGGGTATGTTGGAAACTGACTTATTTAAATTGTCATGACACAAAAGATTAGTCCAAAGAATTATTTAATCATACTGAAACCAGAACTTTGACATATACTGATGAAATCTGCAGATTATTCTATATGAACAATCCCTGAGAAACAGGTAAGTGGCTGATAAATATCAGACATAACCGTTAATACCAATAGCGATATTGTATATCTTTTGATAAAACTGTGTACCTTCTTGTTGATATTTGTAATATAATTTTTGATCAGGACTTGGTAAAAGCGCCATCTCAAGTGAATATATCAAAATAAAAATTACATACTCACGATAAAGTAGGCTCCACAGAAATAACAGTTAGCACTGAATTATAATTTATGAAATCAATTAGGTACAGCAGCAAGGCATGGTTTTGTCCTATAGTAAAGCTCTAGGAACTGGCGAGATGAGTTCGAATCCACGCGATACTATGAAATGGCGGGGTGCTACTGACTGCCTTCATTCAAAATTAGGGACGGCAGCAAAGAGCCTTAGTAGCTTTGACATCAATACATAACGATAACAGCAGCCGATTCTGATAGTTCGTTTTATAAATGTAAATAATTATTTCTAATTGCCTCTATTTTCAAACGATAAAAAGCTTTTCTGTTTCTTTAATCACAGTTTTAATTATAGAGGGTTGAGTAGTTATAATGATTTTATGAAGATGTTTTCAGATCGGGGATTTAGAATTTCCAAGTTGGATATATATCCCAAATAACTTAATGGCGTTAGAAAACAAAGGGATATGGATCAACTTGGGGCACCAGGATCGTCAAGAACGAGACCTGCGACAAGTCGTATCCCTGCTGTGGTAAACAAAGTGAAACGTCTTGTAACAGTTTAGAATTCACGAACACAAAGATCCGTGACAAAATTCATCCACGTGTCACAGGCAACAGTATGTAATAATATCAAGAAACATCTTTGTTTGAAAAAGCTTCACAAGTCACGTGTACACAAGTTTCTTGTATGACACGTCCATTCAACCGTCGCATGCCTCAACAGATTGAGAATGAAACGGATATTCATGCTATTCCATATGAAGACATACAGGTGAAGTCATCGGACGCAGCGTCTAATGGAAGTCTGTGTGATAGTGGTTTTGAAATGAGCGTTGGAAAAACCGTCGTCCTCGCACAGAAGATGGAAAGCATCTAATGAAAGGTGGCGTGCTTTGGGTGTGATATCCTTACAATGAAACTTTTTCAAAGGAAACTACCGTTGGAGGTCTATTGTCAAGTTGCAAGGTCGCCAGATAGAGTTTGACCAGACGTGGCAACATGAATTGAACGACATGGCGAGGCTCCAGAATTGTTTTAATATAACGTACTCAACCCTCTTTATAATCAGTTGTTAAGGGAGATTTTTCAGTAAAGTAAAACATTTATTGAAATTACCTTCGAGATCAAGACTATCCGCACTGAAAATTAACAATAGAAGAAGCAACAATATTTCTGGAAATATACAACACTTGCAGCAACAACAGTACTTATGAATACAGATAACACAACATTGGCACCAACAATAATACTTATGGATACAGATAACACAACACTGGCAGCAACAACAGTACTTATGGATAGGGATAACACAACATTGGCAGCATCAACAATACTTATGGATACAGATGACACAACATTAACAGCAACAGCAGTACTTATGGATACAGATAACACAACATTGGTACCAACAACAATACTTATGGATACATATAAAACAGTCTTGGCAGCAACAACAATACTTATGGATACAGATAACACAACATTGACAGCAACAGCAGTACTTATGGATACAGATAACACAACATTGGTACCAACAACAATACTTATGGATACATATAAAACAGTCTTGGCAGCAACAACAATACCTATGAATACAGATAACACAACATTGGCAGCAACAACAGTACTTATGAATACAGATAACACAACATTGGCAGCAACAACAGTACTTATGGATAGGGATAACA